ATTCAAGGGCCATTCTCTTAATTCCAAACTTCTTCAAGGTCCTGATCTGATCAACCCTCTATTGGGTGTCTTGCTTAGATTCAGAAATGAAAAAATTTCAATAATGGCTGACATTGAAGCAATGTACTATCAGGTACGAGTTCAAAATCATCATCATGACTTTCTTCGATTCCTGTGGTGGCCAAAAGGGGATGTTGACCAGCCACTAGAAGTCTACAGGATGAATGTTCATCTTTTTGGTGCGGTGTCATCTCCAAGCATTGCAAATTTTGCTTTAAAGCAAACAGGAATCGATAATTCTGAACGGTACAGCTCACAAGTAATTGACACAATTAATCATAGTTTTTACGTCGATGATTGTCTCAAGTCTGTGGCTTCTGAGAAAGAAGCTATCAAGCTCATTGAAGACCTCAGGGAAGCATGCACCCTAGGAGGATTTACTTTACGTAAATGGGTGAGCAATAGCTCTGAAGTCCTTGAGACCATTCCAGAAAGTTACAGAGCCCCTCTTGTGAAACAGCTGGACTTGGACAGAGAAAAATCTCCTCTTGAGAGGGCACTCGGAATCCAGTGGAATATCCAAAAGGACGTCTTTACCTTCCGGGTAACCATTAAGAACAGAACTCCCACTAGACGAACAATCCTTTCTATAGTTAATTCCATATACGACCCACTAGGTTTCATTTCCCCTTTTGTTCTCAAGGCCAAGCAAATTCTGCAAAGACTCTGCCATGAGAAATATGGCTGGGATGAAATAATCCCAGATGGAATTATGAGGCCATGGCAAAGATGGCTCACAGAGTTAGACCAGCTGAGCAGATTTGAAGTGGACAGGGGCATGAAGCCCGAGAACTTTGGTGTTGCAAAAACTGCTGAACTACACCATTTTTGTGACGCAAGCGAGCTAGGATATGGGACAGTAAATTACCTCAAACTTACAAATAGTGTCAAAAATGTTCATGTCAAATTTGTACTGGGTAAAGCCAGAGTAGTCCCACTCAAACGGATAACGATTCCGAGACTTGAGCTTGCAGCCGCAACCCTTGCTGTGAAGGTGGACAGAATGTTGCAAAAGGAACTTCATATGGAACTGGAAGATTCCACCTTCTGGACCGACAGTACGGTGGTACTGAAGTACATCCATAATCAGACAAAACGATTTCATACTTATGTCGCAAATAGAATTGCAGTGATACATAACCTCTCGCAAGTACATCAGTGGAGGTATGTATGTTCTGGAGACAACCCGGCAGATGACAGCTCCCGTGGCTTACAGATAGAATCCCTCCTGAATTCCACAAGATGGCTGAACGGTCCTCACTTCCTGTCAAAGGAGAAATCTGAATGGCCTGAAGTGCCAGAAGATCTCAGATACATCCCATCAAACGATATGGAAGTAAAAAGAGAACTCTCTAGTAACTACTTGAACCTGCAGAACAACGCGGTTACAAGAATAATTGAGTATTATTCTTCATGGAGGAAACTATTGAGAGCTATTGCATGGTGGCTAAGGCTCAAAGGACTCTTGATGCTTCAGAAAGACAAAGGTCTTACAATAGATTCACAATGGAAAATAAAGCAAAAAGGATTAACTCCAGAAGATTTGGACGAAGCTGAGAAGTCTGTCATTCGCTATGAACAACAGCGCTACTTCGACTCAGAGATAACACTCTTGAGAGAAAACAAACTCATCAAATCAAATAGCTCCATATACAAACTGGATCCAATCATTGATGAGGGCATTTTGAGGATTGGAGGAAGACTAAGTAAAGCAGCCATGCCGGTGAGTCTAAAGAACCCAATTATTCTACCCAAAGACTCACATATATCCAAACTGATCCTGCGTGACATACATCAAAAAGTCGGACACTCAGGAAGAAATCACATGCTTTCGAGACTGGGTCAGAGGTTCTGGATACCATCGGCAAATTCATCTGCAAGAAAGATAATAAAGTCTTGTGTCTTTTGCAGACGAATGCAAGCTAAAGTTGGAGAACAAAAAATGGCTGACCTACCCGATGAACGTGTCGCTCCTGATCTTCCACCTTTCTCACACGTGGGTATTGACTACTTTGGACCAATTGAAGTCAAACGAGGTCGTTCTCATGTAAAAAGATGGGGAGTGATATTTACCTGCCTGGCGAGCCGAGCAATACACCTCGAAGTAGCAAGCACGTTAGACACGAACTCTTGCATCAATGCTATACGACGGTTTTTATGTCGGAGGGGACCAGTACTGACCATCAGAACTGATCGTGGCACCAATTTTGTGTGTGCCCAGAAGGAATTAGAGGCCACCTTGAACCAGATGGACCATCACAAAATTCAAGAGACTTTGCTGAGTGATCATGTCAAGTGGACCTTTAATCCACCATTTGCAGCCCACTTCGGAGGAGTGTGGGAGAGATTAATCAAACTAGTTAAGAAAATACTGCTTTCTGTCCTGAAACAACAGACACTGGACGATGATCTGTTACAAACAGCTTTGTGTGAAGTTGAGTGTATTCTCAATGACAGGCCCATCACAACTGTATCAGGTGACCCAAATGATCTTGAACCCCTAACACCAAATCACCTTCTGCAGTTGAAATCCAAACCCCTCTTGCCACCTGGACTCTTCAATAGAGATGACTTGTACTCTAGAAAGCGATGGAAACAGGTGCAATACCTTGCAGACCTTTTCTGGCAACGATGGACAACTGAATATCTTTCGTTGATGCAGCAACGACAAAAGTGGAACAATCCCAAGAGAAACTTCCAGGTAGATGACATAGTAGTCATAGTAGACGACACAGCACCGAGGAACTCGTGGCCCTTAGGTCGTGTGATGAAGACCCTGCCGGGGCCCAAAGGTCTTGTCTGCAGTGTCTTGGTGAAGACTAAAACCACTGTTCTACAAAGACCCATCACCAAACTTTGTTTGCTTCTGGAAGCTGACAGTCAGCCTGAGCGATTCTGACAAAACAATGTCAGATTTCTACAGTCTTATGTGCACGCTTTCATTTATCCTGACAAACCTACATATATCATTACGTGCTCACACACCAGTACATATCTTTACATACATGGACTTTTCAAATTCGCACCACATTTACACTCAAAATCTGCACATACATGGACTTTTCAAATTCGCACCACATATACACTCAAAATCTGCACATACATGGACTTCTCATCTTTCGCACCACATTTACACCCATTGGACTTTTTGTATCCTTCCCTATGGAGTGTGCTCTAGACACATCTATGGTATGAACTTTGGGGGTGATTCATGGGAATTGTTAAAAAAGATAGATGAAGTAAGATATCACAATGTATTAACATTGATGAATGAAATGCAATATGATTAATGTGATAAATGCTATGTAAATTGACATTTGTTTTTGTATACTGTACATATGGCAATACTGTATCTAGTCATATGAGTTCTGACTCCATTAGATATCTTATATTTGGTAATTGTTCTGCTTTGGCATTAACAATTAGGGGCCAGGATGTTGGAGCCATATTCAGAATGTTGTGTACTACCAGAATTATAATTAAGTAATGATTAAATTTGATTTATTTATTTTGTAATACATAATATTATGCTTTAAATGTACAAGGGAATTTTGTTTAATTTTTAATACTTGTACTAACCTGGTTAAGCACATTTATTGACTCCTCCCCCTTTGACGCGTCACTACGATGCGTGAGTGCAGGTGTTGATAATGAGGTAGGATTGTTTGGCACAGACAGGTTAGAGTTTGGAGAGCAACAGTTTCTTCAATCGCATGAAATGCATGTTACTGATAGTGTTTTTCTTGGATGCCAATTTTTGTTTTTTGTTTGGAAAGTAAACCAGAGATTGCGATCAATAAATACGTTGTTTTTGTTGTTATGACCGCTTCTCCGTGCGTGCTTAATGGACATGTAGATAAGAAGATACTCCTCATCTAACCTCGAGAGGCTAAAAGAATTAAGACATTAGGTATTAGCCTCTACATACGGACTGCAGCTGCTGATACAACGGCGTTCTGTTGCGCGAGCGTCCACTCGCACAAATGCGACCACATAACATTTTAACTCGCACATTCTCAAAAAATGGTCGCAGTCTGGAACCCTGCAGGAGGAGCTCTAGGACTGACTCACGGGGTACCCTCGGGGTCACTGCCCCATCAGTCCAAACCCCCAAAACCCCATTTGTTGGGAAGCTCTGGTAATGGAGTCGGTCCAGTCCACACCCCACAGAACCTCAGACTCACTCCTCCACCGCATGCTTATCTCTCTCACCATTCCCAGTGCCAGTTCAGTTAGGCATCAAAAGGAGGATGCAAACTAAAATGCAGTGTAATGAGTCGGACGCACTGGCACAGCGCTCATGCAGTAAACGCACAGCTAAACAGAGTCTGGATGTGATGTGACTGTAGGAGCACATCTGATCTCCTCTGGAAGCTGGTCCAGTATAGGAGCCAAAAGCAGACTCGCCTTGCTTAGAGCGAACCCTTGGTATATCAAGCTGATGTGATCTGAGTGATCTGTTAGTGAGCATATCTGCAATGTATTGAGGTACACATGAGTCTTCTGTACATGCATCTGTTGTTTTATGTGTTTATAATCTTTTCTCTACTGCATTGCATTGCGTGTCTCACATTTCACTGTCTTTGGCCATACGCACATACTCTGTTTTTAATCCTGCATACTTTAATATTTAACTGGTCTGTGGTAGGGGTGGAACGGTACATGTATTCGTATTGAACCGAAACGGTACGGGCGTCACGGTTCGGTGCGGGCGCGATCGAACAGAGTGTGTGTGTGAGAGAGAGAGAGAGAGAGGTCTAGCCATCGAGACCGGCAGACACAGATAGAGCTGGTTACCCCGAGAGCAAAGGGTGTGTGTTCAGTGTAGGACAGGAGAGGTCGAGACAGAGACACACTTCCTCCTTCACTGTCACAGATACAGCTCAGTCAGAGACCTCTACTTTAACAAACTTAATAACTTAATACAGAACTTTACAGCCATGACTGAAGTAGAACAGATAAAGATCTTACTAGGAGAGGGACAGACCGCAACACTGGCTGCCAGATACGTGTGTGTGTGCCACAGCCTGAGAGACAGCAGGTAAATGTGTGTATGTGTGTGAGACTGACCTCAGTGTGTTTCCCTAATGTCCACCACAGTGACCCTCAGTAATGTGTGTGTGTGTGTGTGTGTGTGTATATATATATGTTAAAACACTGTGGTATCAAATGTTCACAGAAATTTTAACCTGTTACACTGTTAATTTGTGCAATTAATTTAATGTGTACATTTGAATTTAAGTTGTTATAATACTTTATTATTCTTTATGTCTTTATTATTATACCATGTGTTACGAGAGAGAAATTAATTTAATGTGTACATTTGAATTTAAGTTGTTATAATACTTTATTATTCTTTATGTCTTTATTATTATACCATGTGTTACGAGAGAGAAATTAATTTAATGTGTACATTTGAATTTAAGTTGTTATAATACTTTATTATTCTTTATGTCTTTATTATTATACTATGTGTTACGAGAGAGAAATTAATTTAATGTGTACATTTGAATTTAAGTTGTTATAATACTTTATTATTCTTTATGTCTTTATTATTATACTAGAGAGAGAGAGAGAGAGAGGAGAGAGAGAGAGAGAGAGAGAGAGAGAGAGAGAGAGAGAGAGAGAGAGGAGAGAGAGAGAGAGAGAGAGAGAGAGAGAGAGAGAGAGAGAGAGAGAGAGAGAGAGAGAGAGAGAGAGAGAGAGAGAGAGAGAGAGAGTGAACAGAGTGTGTGTGCGTGTGAGAGAGGCACGGGCGATGAACAGTGGAAACATAAAAACATACTCCGTCATTTTTTTCATACAGGACATCATTAAACCGGCAAATTGTTTACTTATATTTGTGTACACTCGCAATAAAACACAACATTAGTGCTTTTGTCACACTCTAAACTCTTGTCGAACTGTAACCTACAACTGTTAACAAAAGTTTTTAATGGTAGTATTATTTTATACGGAAATCAATTATTTATCATTCAGATGAGAATAAAGTTAGGGTTAATTAAAATGAAGGAAAACAAATATATTGATCTGAAATAGCAAATTAATTTTAAATTCATTCAGGTACAATTACCAAACATATCTCAAGGTCTTTTCGTCTTTTTAATAATTTAATTAATAAACTAATTATATAAAACTACTGTCAGTGCACTACAAATAAACTGGTTCTATGCCTTTATTAATAAAACGTATATAAAAAATACAAGGCTTAAGACATTTATAAAAAAGCCTTCTGCATTTTTGTTTTGCTATTCACTCCATTGTACCGAAATCGGACCGAACCGTGACGTCTGAACCGAGGTATGAACCGAACCGTGACTTCTGTGTACCGTTCCACCCCTAGTCTGTGGGTCTCCTGAATGACTACTGTAATCAAATAGTCGATCTTTCGGTGGCTTTATAATAATGTGGATTTAGAGTCATGTTGGATCATGGCTGTTTGTTTCTGACTTGTATTGGTTTTAATATATGTAACACAGTTCGTTGTTATGGGAAGGAGGAGGCGGGAACCGGCGAACATTTAAAGACTTTAATAACAAAATAAATAAACAAATACAAAATGAAAGTAAAGATAAGGTAATATAACACAACACAACGTAGAATCCAGGCCTGGTCCTCTCTCAGTCTTCACTGTCGTCGCTCCTCCGTGAGAGATTCGAGACCGGTGCGTCGCTCGTCGTTAATCTCGTCCTGCTCGCCACAGTATATGTTACACTTTAATATATATATATATATAATATGTATTTTTAATTAACAAAAACGCGCACTACCATTCAAATGTGTTTTTTTTTTTCTTTGAAAGAAATGAATGCCTTTATTCAGTAAGGATGCATTAAGTTTATCAAAAGTGGCAGTAAAGAAATTACACAAGATTTCTATTTAAAAATAAATGTTTTTTTGTTTGTTTTTTACTTTCACGGGAATCACAGAATCCTAAAAAAAAGCATCACAGTTGATTGAGTGAATGATTTCTGAAGGATCATGTGACACTGAAGACTGGAGTGAAAATTCAGCTTTGATCACAGGAATAAATTACACTGTAATATTCACATAGAAACCCGCTAATTTAAGTTATAATATTATTTCACAATATTGCTGTTTTTACTGTGTTTCTGATCAAATAAATGAAGCGAACCCGACCACAAACATAGTGTCCATAGTTTCATTCCATTTTCGGTTTTATTTTCTCAAATGTGACTCAAGCTCAACCATTCAACTCTTCCGCTTTTGTTCTGAATGTCCCACCCTGTTACCAGTTCAGGGTTTTCACTATTTAATTGTGATGTTTATTCAGTGTTTATTGTTAGAAATTAAACAAAGGTTCTGAGATTGCCTGAAACAAGATTTTCTAAATATACTTTGAAACCCTCATTTAAACTTTAATTTGAAACATTTTGGTTAACAGGGTTGCATAAACATCAGACACGGAGGAAAAAGAGTAGGCTGTTTCGTAGCGTGTGTCCCCGTCTTCATGGAAAGAGCCGTGATCTCGACTGATAAATGTTACATGAGTGACCCGTTATCTTCTGCTGTGTGTTCCTTTCGTTCAGAACCGAATCTTGTGGATTGATGAGAAGAATCTGACGGCTCATGTGGAGGCTGGGATCATCGGACAGGATCTGGAGAGACAGGTCATTGATCCACACACTGATTTCACAACAGCTTTCTGCACATTCCTTTGTGTGTGTGTATATATATATATATTTATATTTGTGTGTGTGTGTGTGGTTCAGGTATTCCCTAAATGTCCCTGCAAGGATAGTAATACCAGAAATCCTTGTCCTTGTGGGACATTGTTTGGTCCCCATGAGGAAAACCGCTTATGAATTATTATTTTTTTTAAATGCAGAGAGTGTGTGTGTGATGCGTAGGTTTAGGGGTCGGGTTAGTGTAAGGAGAGAAAATATACAGATTGTACATTATAAACACCTTTGTCTATGGAAAGTCCCCATAAAACACATTCATGTTAATGCTGAAGGGTAAAAACAGGCCATTTGCTTGGGACTTTCTGTCTGTGCACACACACACGCACACACACACACACACCGCAGATGGTCCCATTAAACTAATGTCGAAAAATGGCACTGGTGCTGCTGGTGTGGTGTAGTATTGTGTGTGTGTGTGTGTGTGTGAGATGCATCATAAACATGCCTATCACTGTGTGTGTGTGAGTAAGATGTCATAAACATGCCCATCACTGTGTGTCTGTGTATGTGTGTGTGGAGGGAAGCCGGACAGATGGTGAAACATTAAAGTGAGTTTGTATTTCTCGGGGGTTTGCTTAATAAAATCACCTGGAGCGTGTGTTTTATCTGAGACTGATCAATAAGTCCATAAGCTCTCTCACAGGTATACGGCTGTCATGTACACACACACACACACACACACACACACATTGTGAGTCTGACCGCAGGAAACATCTGTAACGCTCCATAAGGCTTCAGTACTTCTGTGTTTATCCAGAACCTCATTTCCTGTGAGGCTGTTGTGTTTTACTGTCATTCACATTTTTATTATGAAACTGATCTCGTCCTGGTCCTGGATGCTGATTGGTCTGGACAGGGATCCAGCTGTGCTAAAATACACGATGTTGTAACAGCGAAGATGTTCAACATCTGTTCACCAGCTGCTATTGTATCCAGGGGTGTGTGTGTGTATATATATATTTTGTGTTAAATAAAAGTTTGTGTTTACAAAATATATATGTGTGTGTGTACTGTGTATAATTATTTTGTATATATAAATAAACACACATGCATGTATTTATTTAAGAAAATGTGTTATTTATATATAAAATATTTATATTTATATATAATATAAATTATACATAAATATATATACAGTATATACATGCAAATACTTCTTAAATATAATAATAATAGTATAAAAGTGTGTGTATTTATATATACAAAATAATTATACACAGTACACACACACGCATACATATACTATGTAAACACAAACTTTTATTTTGGATGCGATTTAATTGTTGCCTTGCACTAGTTTTAATGAAAAAATACTTTAAGAAAGATGTTGTTTTGTGTGTGTGTGTGTGTGTGTGTAGTTGAATGAGCATGGCTACTGTACGGGCCACGAGCCGGACTCCATGGAGTTCAGTTCCCTGGGCGGATGGGTGGCGACCCGCGCCTCGGGCATGAAGAAGAACATCTACGGCAACATTGAGGACCTGGTATGTCTCAACACACACACACATTTAAATTCTTTATTTTTATTAAAAGATAAGCATATATCATGGCATAATCCAAATTTGACAAAAAGGTGTGCAACAGCAGCCAATGTCTCAGTCCATTATGTACATTTAAGGGTAAAGGTGGCACCTACGCCTCCATATGTAGATACACCTCCATACACACACACACACACACACACACACACACACACACTTCAGACGTGTTTTATCCGCATCAGTCTTGTGCTCATCATGTTCCCTGTGATCTGCTGTGTTCCCAGGTGGTGCATATAAAGATGGTGACCCCTAGAGGAGTGATTGAGAAGAGCTGTCTGGGGCCCCGCATGTCCACGGGCCCCGACATACATCACTTCATTATGGGCTCAGAAGGTACGGACACACTGTGTGTGAATCTCAAGAAACTGTTAAGAGCACGTCTGGGTCGTATTTCACCTCGAAGGTATATTTCTATACATCGTGACAATTAAAGGGATAGTTCACCCAAAAATGATCATTTACTCGCCCTTATGTTGCTCCAAGCTTCTTTCTCCTGTTGAACACAAACAAAAGATATTTAGCAGAATATGGTTTGCCAAACAGTTGATGGACCCCAGTATTTTTTTTTTCCATGCAATGGAAATCAATGCGGTCCATCTTTTTATCTGTTTTTTTTTTTTGTTCATTAGAAAATAGGAATTCATGCAGGTTTGGAACGACATGAGGGTAAGTAAATGATAATACATTTTTCCATTTTGGGTGAACTTTCTCTTTAACCCTTTATGACCTCCCATAGATCAATTCCACCAGAGTATATCTTAGTATTTTTTAGTGCTGTCAAACGATTAAAATATTTAATCACGATTAATCGCATTAATGTCATAGTTGACTCGCGATTAATCGCACATTTTTATCTATTCTAAATGTCTCTTGATTTCTTTTTGTCCCATTATTTTTTTTCTCATTTTAATGCTCTTATCAACATGGAAAAGTGGATCGGCTTGCTTTGTGCAAATGTTTTTTATTGAAAACAACATTGACATATACTGTGTTCAATTTCACACTAACATTCTCACTTGGAGCAAATAATCTCTCACACAATGTAACACTGTCCATCAATAAAAGGGTGAAAGAAATACTGACGAGGTCCTGATATTGACGAGGGGGCGGAGAATTCGCATCAGCTGTGTGTGTGTGTGTGTGTGTGTGTGTGTGTGTGTGTGCTTGGCCATCATCAAGTGGTATTTCAGACTGGACGTGCTGCGATGATGATAGCTCAGTTCACAACGACAAAACACACAGATCACTTTGGTCTCGTCAATGGAACCATTTGGCAACTTTTTAAAAGTAAACTTTCCATTCAGAATCTTATTGGCATCCATTTCGGCGTCTCGCGCTCGTCATCCACTCAAAACGTAACGTTAACCTACTATTTGGCCGGCTCGCAAGCCCAAACGAGTGTGTGTGTCGTGCCTGTTGTTTTGTTTCCGGTCTAGCTAGATCCACTTGCGCTTTGGTCGACGAAGCAACAAAACGTCCTCGCGCGGCGCAAGCCATTGAAATGAATGGGTTTCATAGCGCAGCACCGCGTCCTGTTGCAAAAGCATGTGAAAAAAACTACAAAGTTTGCTAGGCCAAAAAGACCGTTAATCGCGCGATAAAAAAATGAACGCCGTTAAAATGGGTTTGCGTTAACGCCGTTAATAACGGGTTTAACTGACAGCCCTAGTACTTTTACATGCTGTGCTGTCATTCTTCCGAGCATTTTCATATGCCATACATCAAAACAATCCTTACACGCCCAAGTAGGCTATGCATGTAATAAATCAATAGTAACTAGATAAATAGCTCAAAAGTGCGAAAAAAAAAAAATATATATTATTTTATTAATTAGTGAAATATCACAAATGTCAACCTCAAACTTGTCAATGTAAAAAACTTGCATAAAACACTTTAAAACTACACACAATTGATGTGAACTGTTTACATAAATGAGTTTGTAAGATACACTCATTGTTATAGAGTCAAATTGATGAAGCAATGATAAAGAGACACTAACGGAAGCAGAGCGCAGTAGAGAAGCGTATACAGCAAATGGGAGTGAAATGTCGCTGCTTGTGAAGAAACCCTGGGGTCATAGTGCACAGAGCCGTCGGACGACGTAACTCAATCGCAGATATATAGAACATGTATGCAAAGACGTGCAACGCATTGTAGCGCTTTTGTTGTAAACACAAAGGGTCTCATTCATGAAACATTGGTAAATATGAGAGTGATTTGCGCGTAAAGAGACCTTCCCGAAAACTCATCTCCTGATTCACAAATACTTCATAAACGTCAGATGTGATAGTGAATTGTTGTGTGTGTGTGTTAATGAATTCCAATCAGTCGTAAATGGGGCGCGCGTGCACGCTCATTCTCAATTACCATAAATCCCGCCCATTAAATCCGACTGACAACTATATATTGGCATCATATTATGACACCAAACGAAGGATTTCAACATGTCTTCTCAAAAGCGAATGAAAAAGAAAAATTTCTCAGATGCAGAAATCGAAGTTTTATTATCAGAAGTTCATTCAAAACACCATTTTATTTTCAAGCGTAGGCTACATAGTGGCGTATCAGGTCCTAAAGAAAAGCAAGCTTGGCAGCATTACAGATGCAGTTAATGGAGTTTAGAGTTTATCTAAATGGAGGCAAAAATTGATAAATTAGCAAATGAAACTCTAGTGAAGCTGTGGTTTACCTCAAATAAAACTTAAGACTGAAGCTATATTTCGGCGTTAGGGTTAGCTAGTAGAGGGCAGTGAAACATGATTAACTAACAGTGTGTGACACACAGTGGTAATGTTTCTCACACATATTTACAGACTCAACAGGTCAGAAGTATGTGCTTGATATATTTCACGTCACAATTCTGTTTAAAAGTATCCCCTTATCCAAAGAAAATGATATTATTATTGTTTTTATTAATTTGTCTCTCTAAAAATTCATTAAGGCATTCATGAAGCCCTGAAGTGATGAGAGTGAGCCATAACCATTGCATTTCGCTAAATCTTCTGAAGCTCTTTACGCCACATATGAGATCTTTGTGGGAGGATGATTGTTTCCCAGGTTTAATCTGCATTAATTAAACATTCATGGTTGCATTAGGAGGGACATCTGGCTTCTTTAATGGGTTTGTAATGTCAGGGACATTTAGGTCCTAAAGGAGGGACACATTTCACTTTTTCCCCTTTGACACACTAAAGTTCAGATGACAGAATTGTTGTTGTTTTTACGGCGGTCATGATTCTAGTGTCAGAGGTGTGTGTGTAAGGTAAACCGGGGTTTTGTTACGTTTAAAGGAGTATTTTGGGTTAGATACAACATCTAAGTGATATTATGAATCAATGACAACTGTAAATAATGCTATACTTTATTAAATGATCAATTTATCATTTCTAAATGATGTATGAACATACAATTATTAAACACATTATAGATATGCTTATAAATCAAGAATAAAGCATTTATTATAGCTGTATTTATAAACTGCTTAATGTCTATTAATGCTTTATAAATGATGAATTAACTGTTCACTAATGCTTAACTAATGATTCATGGCGTGCAGTAGTTATTATAAAGTGTTACCAAATAACCTGTAAAATTTATTGTACAAAAAACTGTTGTTGCCAGAAATTCAGAATCCAGTAAAAAAAGAAACGATACATGAGACAATATTTCAGATATTACAGGTTAGTGTATTTAAAATATATTTCATTAAGTGATATAAGACGTATTACACTAAAATAATGCAATACATATTAACTAAATAACATAAATTGTAACAAAACACCCTAATGTGCATTACTGAAAACAAAAATGTGAACAACAAACAATTGAAATATAATCATATGTGTTGTGTCACTCAGGGACTTCTGGGAATGTCCTTTTACTGTTTTTTTTTTTTCACTGGAAATTTTATGGTAATTCATAGTTTCCTAAAAAAACATAAATTAGACAGTAAAATGACGTGTAATGTACTGTTCAACCATTTACTTTTACTGTTTTCAGCATAATTTATATGGTAATTAATAGTTTTTACTTCCAAAAAACAAACATTTGGCCGTATTTTACAGTAAAATTACATGTGATGTTAAACCGTTTACTTTTACTGTTTTTTTTTTACCATAAATGATATAGTAATTCATATTTTTTTCCTTCCAAAAGCCATAAATCTGACATTATTATACAGTAAAATATATTATGATGTTAAACCATTTACTTTTGACTGTTTTCACTATAAATTATACAGTAATTCATAGTTTTTACTTCCAAAAGCCATAAATTTGACATTATTTTACAGTAAAACTACATATAATGTGATGTTAAACCATTTACTTTTTACTGTTTTTACACTATAAAATATATGGTAATTCATAGTTTCCTAAAAAAACACAAGTTAGACAGTATTTTACAGTAAAATTACATGTAATGTGCTGTTAAACCATTTACTTTTACTGTTTTTAAACTGTAAATTATATGGTAACTCATAGTTTTTACTTTCAAAAAACTCAACTTTGGCAGGATTTTACAGTTGAATTACATACAGTATAATGTGATGTTAAACCTTTGACTCTTTTTCCACCAAAATTATACAGTAATTCATAGTTTTTACTTCCTAAAGCCATACATTTGACACATTTATTATACAGTAAAATGTAATGCGATGTTAAACTTTTACTGTTTTTAGCTATAAATTGTATGGTAATTCATACTTTTTACTTCCTAAACCATAGATTTTGCCATATTTAAAAGTAAAATTACACTGAAGCAAATCAACAGGTGTTTATTTTAGCATTTTACAGTCCTGTTAAAACTTTTTACATTTTAGTGAAGAGAATAAGAGTGAAGGGTGAGGATGAGTGGCGTTCTGTTCTGCTCATAAAGCTTCATCCAGCATACGGTCTCAACGATGGCTCGTATAAACTCTCCACAGGACTGTTACACACTCACACACGTTGGCTTGCTCTGGGCTTTCGGTAATGAGTGTAGAAGCAGCAGATGCAGGGGTCAGAGGTCATGCTGGCCGGGCCCCGGTGACGCTGCTCTCCCCCCGGTGTGTCGTTTGATACTGGCCTGCTTTATGTCACAGAACACACAGTCTGTAAATCTCTTTGCTTCCTTTTGTAGTGGAAGAAACTTGAGCGTTCAGGTGAAAATGAACATGCAGATCTCCTGCTGAGAGTCAGGGGCTCCTTTCGTGTGTGTGTGTGTGTGTGCTGCGTATAACTCTCAGACTGACTGTTATATCCTGTTGTTGGTGTTAAGGACTATTCAGATCATGTGTGTGATGCTGTAATACTGGATCAGATCAGACCTCATTTGAAAATGGTCGCTGGTGTGACTCCCATCTGTCCATGCACATGCCAATGGTGTATATGTGTCTCGCTCTTCAGGAACTCTGGGAGTGGTGACTGAAGTTACAATGAAGATCCGACCCATTCCCGAGTACCAGAAGTATGGCTCCGTAGTATTCCCAAACTTCCAGCAGGGTGTGGCGTGCCTGAGAGAGGTGGCCAGACAGGTCAGTACAGGCCCACATGTGACTAACCCAGCTGTGGTCAGGCTAACTTCATTTTATTTACACACACACACACACACACTGGCATTCAAAAGTTTGGGATGGGTAATATTTTTTATGTTTTTAAAAGAAGTCTCTTATGCTCACCAAGGCTGCATTTATTTGATTGAAAAAAATAAAAAACAGTAACATTGTGAAATATTATTAGAATTGAAAATAACTGTTTTCTATGTGAATATATATATATATATATATATATATATATATATATATATATATATATTAGGGGTGGAACGGTACATGTATTCGTATTGAACCGAAACGGTACGGGCGTCACGGTTCGGTGCACGAATTTGCACGGAGAATACACGGTACAAAAAACAAAAAAAAACCCTCTTAAATAGCGATCAATCTCGCTCTATTCGCTTTTGGTGTGACTGTGAACGCAGCAATGAACAGGCTGCGATCAAGATTGCAATGCTGGAGTGTGTGTGTGTGTGTGTGTGTGTGTGTGTGTGCGAGAGAGAGAGAGAGAGAGAGAGAGAGAGAGAGAGAGAGAGGCGCGGGCGCGAATCGCGCAATCAAACAGTTTGTGTGTGTGTGTGTGCGCGCGCGCGCGTGCGAGAGAGAGAGGCGTGAATCGTGCGATCGAACAGTGTGTGTGTGTGTGTGTGTGTGTGTGTGTGTGTGTGTGTGCGCGCGCGCGAGAGAGAGAGAGATAGAGGCGCGAATCGCGCGATCGAACAGTGTGTGTGTGTGTGTGTGTGTGAGAGAGAGGCACGGGCGATGAACAGTGGAAACATAAAAACATACTCCGTCATTTTTTTCATACAGGACATCATTAAAACTGCAAATTGTTTACTTCTATTTGTGTACACTCGCAATAAAACACAACATTGTGCTTTTGTCACACTCTAAACTCTTGTCAAACTGTAACCTACAACTGTTAACAAAAGTTTTTAATGGTAGTATTATTTTATACGGAAATCAATAATTTATAATTCAGATGAGAATAAAGTTAGGGTTAATTAAAATGAAGGAAAACAAATATCTTGATCTGAAATAGCTAATTAATTTTAAATTCATTCAGGTACAATTACCAAACATATCTCAAGGTCTTTTCGTCTTTTTAATAATTTAATTTATAAACTAATTATATAAAACTACTGTCAGTGCACTACAAATAAACTGGTTCTATGCCTTTATTAATAAAACTTATTTAAAAAATACAAGGCTTAAGACATTTATAAAAATGCCTTGTGCATTTTTGTTTTGCTTTTCCCTCCATTGTACCGAAATCATACCGAACCGTGACGTCTGAACCGAGGTATGAACCGAACCGTGACTTCTGTGTACCGTTCCACCCCTAATATATATATATATATATTAAAATGTAATTTATTCCTGTGATCAAAACTGAATGTTCAGCATCATTACTCCAGTCTTCAGTGTCACATGATCCTTCAGAAATCATTATAATATGTTGATTTGATGCTCAAAAAAAATTTATGGTTATCAATGTTGAAAACATTTACATTTATGCATTTGGCAGACGCTTGTATCCAAAGCGACTTACATTGCATTTTAAGGTACTCGTTTCTTATCAGTTCTTGCTTTCCCTGGGAATCGAACCCATGACCTTTGCGTCGCAAGCACCAACGCTCTACTGTTTGAGCTACAGGGAATCAGTTATGGAAATGTTTTTGATTATTTTTGCCAAAAGAGTAACCCCTGACCAATGTATGATGTAGGAGTAGCGTAAGCTTTGACGTCTCTCGCGGTTCAAACAAATAGGACTCTGCAACAAACTCAAGCTCCTCTTCTATTATCGAAATCCTCCGACATCTCTCTTTAAAGTTGCTCATTTTAGACTTCTGTGACCGGCGTTTTGTTTTGCTCTATCCTCTGCGCTTTCGTGTTCAATGCGTCAGGTCAAGGTTTACTCTTTCACCGTAAATAGATGTGTCTGCCGAAAGCTAGTTATTTTAGTTTTAAAACTTTTAAATATGGATATTTTTCTTACACAAACGCATGGCTTCGCTTCAGAAGGCCTTTATTAACCCCATGGGGTCGTATGGAGCACTTTAATAATGGATTAATGCACTTTAATAATGGATTAATGCACTTTAATAATGGATTAATGCACTTTTTTGGGCTTCAAAATCATATCCTCCATTCACTGCCATTTGGAAGCTTGGAAGAGGACATTTTTTTAATATAACTCTGATTGTATTCGTCTGAAAGAAGAACGTCATATACACCTAGGATGGGTTGATGGCGAGTAAATCATGGGGTTATTTTCATTTTTGGGTGAACCATCCCTTTAACCCTTTAGGCGCCAGAGGTTTTTTCCTAAAACGTTCGATTTTGACATCTTAATTTCAAAAGGCTATATCTTAAAAGTGATAAAAGATAGAGACTTTCTGTAAATTAGAGAAATATTAAGGATGACCCAAAGTTTATGTAGGGATTACATTTTCCCATCTAATTTGCATATTATGACATCATATGGTGGTGGCAAGCTTGGATTATAGAATTTTCATGAAAAGTCACATGTTTAAATGATAAAATGCAGCACTTCTTTCCCCCCAAAATGTCCATCACCTTCTTTATGCTATATTGCACAATACTGAATGCTCAGGTATATAGTAAGTAGTAAACAAACTGTGTAAATCATTACTAATAAATGGTAGAAATAAACCGAATGCATGTAGTGGTTGGCCTTTTGCTGTAGAGATTTTCCATTTACTAAATACAGTAGGCACTCTGATTCCATGTATGGGGCACATATATATTATTCATATGACATACAAACACAAGCAGACAAGACCTGTTTAGTTCAAACGCTCACTCGCACAGATCATGAGTGAGATGACACGAGCAGCGCGGCCAGATCTGCCTCGCGCCCGCGCCGAGTGTGCACAGCTCGGACTACTGTCATTGTCATTGCGACTCCTCACCCTGCCTCCACGTTGTCTCCTAACTGTCCTATGAATACTTCGACCTTGTCTAACATACCGAGTGGCATTAGACAAAGTCTCCAACACAATAGTGTCACCGCGATTGCAGAGAGGATCTGATAAAATGGCTCACTCGCACACTAGCTCCGCTTTAGATCGCACTGATTCAATGCGCTCTAACTCGAACATTTTGTATAGAAACATGATGTTTTTTTGATTCAGGGATGAAGTATGACATATCTGCCATCCAGTGGAGGGGAGGTCGAACGAAATTTGACACCCAATTTGTCAAAATCGGCCGTTTTATTCAGTGCCGCATCTTGTCGAGTAAACTCGACCGTGGCGCCTAGAGGGTTAACGCAAACGGCAAAAGATAAAGATAAAATCACTCACTGCTCTTGACTGAATAACTTTAGTAGCTTTAATAAGGATATATACAAGGATGACTGTTATTTTACATATGATTACTTTATTGTTTTTCTTACCTGAATACTACACCTGACAAACTTTAAAGGGGTCATCGGATGGCCATTTTCCACAAGTTGGTATGATTCTTTAGGGTCTTCATGTTAAGTTTGTAACATACTTTGGTTAAAATTCCTCAATGGTTGTGTAAAACAACACCCTTTTCACCTCCTCAAAAACAGCTCTGTTCACAGCGACCAGTTTCGGTGCATGTCTCTTTAAATGACATTTAAAGAGACATGCACCCCCCCCCCCCCCCCCACCCTCTCTTCCATGGGGAGTTTTGACACAAGACACTAAAGTGACGCCTTGGTGGACCGTATACAAATGGCTGAGGGCGGAAATCTGCTAATACGGGACAGTCCGTCAGCGGTCGTGGGGGGAGCATGAGCAACATGACATCAAATTGCTCAGAGAATCCAAACGGCTTGATTATTGAGAGTTTTGACTTTTTGAGGATTTAAAAAAAAGGAATGAATGGTTTTTTTTTCATTGTTATGGTGTTTGTGTCCACACACTGCAGACACATTTATATATCAAACACCATGTAAAAGTGAATTTTGCATCCGACGACCCTTTAAAGCACTGTTTATTTCATCTTATTTTTGTTTCTTATTTCCAAACTGTTAGATTTGAGTTGACTGAATCTATTGTAGATTTGCATTTTTGCCAAAAGTACACGACTAAAGCCAAGTGGAAAGTGAGCCGTCGAAGTGAAGAGCGATGCCAGTACAGAAGCTTTATTGCGAAGAGTGCATGCTGAATCGGGCCGTGTGTGTGAAGCTAATGGCCTCAGATCTGGGCTTCTCATTAGTCTGTGTGTTGCTGCTGATGTAGCCCTTATTGATGATCTAGTGTTACCGTTCTGTACAGCACTGCCTCTTATTAGTCCATAAACAAACTGGGATCCAAACTTAAAATGAAATTATTGATTATGCTGGTCAGCACCTGCACTGCTCCTCCATCCGTTTCAGCCCAAGGCTGCCTTTAAAAAAATCGGGTCATATTTTAATTTGAATATCATTTTGCTGTACTGTAGGTGTTCCCTAACAACTCTCTGAGCGATAATAATGTAGTAGATTTGTTTAAAAGTGTAGGAGAGGGTCATTATCCGCCTCCGTCTATTAATCTGTTTCTGTCTGAGCATGTTTCCTTTTCTCTATTCTTGTTCTAGAGATGTGCTCCAGCATCCATTCGGCTAATGGACAACGAGCAGTTTCAGTTCGGTGAGTTGCGTCTGTCCTTCTAATCTAACCTATATTACTTTCTTTCTTCTGTGGGGCAAAAAAGATATTTTGAAGAATCTTCACACAGCTCTTTTACAACGACAGTTCATGGTGACGACGACTGCCTTCACAGAGAAACAAACAAAGTCACATCAAAAGCACCATTATTCTTTAATAATAATAAATAAAAAAATCAAGAACAAAAAAGAGGAGATATTTAATTTACTAATTAACTGACATCAGAGAACCGTGAACATGAATGTTTAATTATTGAAATATTGACTTAAAATCTCAAAAGGACTAAAGATTTTTGGTCAAATGGGTTCAGTTTGGGATTCCTTGCTTTTTATAATGGAAAAGTTTCTATAGCCATCTAGATTTTACTTGAAGATAATTTCCTAACAAAAAATGGTTGGGAAAGTCATTGGTCAAAAAGTGTCGGGATGCTAAACGTGTCCGAACGGGTGCGTCTCAATCGGCTCGCTAGTTCAGTAGTCAGCGCACTGATGAGGGAGTCGGCCATTTTAAGGGCCGTTTCAATCGCAGAATCCTTCCAGTCCACTGAAACATTCGCTCCCTAAAAAGTCCCACAATGCACCGCAAAAACCAGGGAGCATCGATGCTCACTATGCTCCCTTAACAGAAATTACGTCACATTTCTGAAGCGTGAAACATAAAACCCAGGAGCCAACTCAATCATTATAATTACACGCGATAGAAGATTTGAAAAGACAACTCTCAGCAGGTAGTGAACGCGTCTAATTAACATTTCAAATTAATATTCGGCTGAAATGTTATGTAATATTATGTGTTGAATATGTAACGGAACAATGTGTTTAAGCAGCTCGTTCTCAAATTTCAGTACAGGTGTTTTTCCACATGAAGTGTTTTAGGGTGTCCACACCACACCTTCACAGCGCGCTCATACTAAACTCTTTGAGACTCAGCGATATGAATTCACTGCGTTATGAACGTGGCACTTGAGGGAGTTAACACTGTATGCAATACCCCCAACCTCACACCAAATGTCAGGCCCTGTAGATAGGCTAGCCTATATATATGTATATATATATATATATATACTCACCTAAAGGATTATTAGGAACACCTGTTCAATTTCTCATTAATGCAATTATCTAATCAACCAATCACATGGCAGTTGCTTCAATGCATTTAGGGGTGTGGTCCTGGTCAAGACAATCTCCTGAACTCCAAACTGAATGTCAGAATGGGAAAGAAAGGTGATTTAAGCGATTTTGAGCGTGGCATGGTTGTTGGTGCCAGACGGGCCGGTCTGAGTATTTCACAATCTGCTCAGTTACTGGGATTTTCACGCACAACCATTTCTAGGGTTTACAAAGAATGGTGTGAAAAGGGAAAAACATCCAGTATGCGGCAGTCCTGTGGGCGAAAATGCCTTGTTGATGCTAGAGGTCAGAGGAGAATGGGCCGACTGATTCAAGCTGATAGAAGAGCAACTTTGACTGAAATAACCACTCGTTACAACCAAGGTATGCAGCAAAGCATTTGTGAAGCCACAACACGCACAACCTTGAGGCGGATGGGCTACAACAGCAGAAGACCCCACCGGGTACCACTCATCTCCACTACAAATAGGAAAAAGAGGCTACAATTTGCAAGAGCTCACCAAAATTGGACAGTTGAAGACTGGAAAAATGTTGCCTGGTCTGATGAGTCTCGATTTCTGTTGAGACATTCAGATGGTAGAGTCAGAATTTGCCGTAAACAGAATGAGAACATGGATCCATCATGCCTTGTTACCACTGTGCAGGCTGGTGGTGGTGGTGTAATGGTGTGGGGGATGTTTTCCTGGCACACTTTAGGCCCCTTAGTGCCAATTGGGCATCGTTTAAATGCCACGGCCTACCTGAGCATTGTTTCTGACCATGTCCATCCCTTTATGGCCACCATGTACCCATCCTCTGATGGCTACTTCCAGCAGGATAATGCACCATGTCACAAAGCTCGAATCATTTCAAATTGGTTTCTTGAACATGACAATGAGTTCACTGTACTAAAATGGCCCCCACAGTCACCAGATCTCAACCCAATAGAGCATCTTTGGGATGTGGTGGAACGGGAGCTTCGTGCCCTGGATGTGCATCCCACAAATCTCCATCAACTGCAAGATGCTATCCTATCAATATGGGCCAACATTTCTAAAGAATGCTTTCAGCACTTTGTTAAATCAATGCCACGTAGAATTAAGGCAGTTCTGAAGGCGAAAGGGGGTCAAACACAGTATTAGTATGGTGTTCCTAATAATCCTTTAGGTGAGTGTGTGTGTGTGTGTGTGTATATATATATATATATATATATATATATATATATATACACATATATATATATATATATATTAGGGGTGTAACGGTACATGTATTCGTATTGAACCGTTTCGGTTCGAGGCTTCCGGTTCGGTACGCATACAAACCGAACGATTCCTTGGACCATTTTTCCTACCGACAAAATTCGCGCTGGTGCGACCACCACAACGTTGCGCAACATCAAATGACAAGCGTAAAGAAAGCGGAACGAAACTGCGCTACTCATGTGCTTCACTGATCGTTTATCAGTTCGGAGTTCGGACCAGCAACATCTGTGCAGCGCGAGCCGATCTCGATCAAGCGACACTGTCACTACACAGCGCTAAGAGATCCAGTAAAGAAAACATTTGAATTCGCCACTGAAGTAATAACATCGCTGCGATATCTAGTGAGAAGCATTCACATTTCTCCGTTATTAACCGTAGATCTCTATTAGATCAAACAGCGCTGACGTGGACACCAGGAGAAATATTGTGCCGTGAATGAACTAAGTTAGTAATACTTTACCTCCACAGACCAGCAACATTCACCATAACTGTAACCAGTTTGGCTGGAATAGTGAAATGCTTTCAAGTAGCCTACTTCACACATCTTTTTCCAGCACTTCAAAACTCAAATATTATATAAATAAATATATGAAGAGTTCAGATGCAAAAGCCTCTATGTGCCATTTGAAATTTTCTTCTAGAATGATCATTTTTATGAAGCTTGTATATTTAAGTTCTGTAATTTCACTCAAATGACAATTAATAGGTAATCTTCATTGCCATTTAAGTGAAATTACTGAACTTAAATATACAAGCTTGATAAAAATAAAGAAAATTTCAAATGGCTTTTGCATCTGAACTCTTCATATATTTAAATGTTATTTTTAATGTGATGACCAAAACATTATTTGTTCATCCTTCAAAGTTGACACCCATTTATAAACCTGAAAGTTTCAAGATGTAGGAAAACTCAACTTATTTAAAAAATATTTTTTTCTTTTAACAAATAAGAAATTTCTCTGGCATTTCTTACTTTTTGCTGTATCGAAAACGTACCGAACCGTGACTTTAAAACCGAGGTACGTACCGAACCGTGATTTTTGTGTACCGTTACACCCCTAATATATATATATATATATATATATATATATATATATATATATATATATATATATATATATATATATATATATATATATATATATATATATACATATATATACATATATATACATATATATACATATATATACATATATATACATATATATACATATATATACATACATATAAAATGAGTAATCAGAAATGATGTACCTTATCATATTAGAGGAAGATGCTGATATCTCGATTGAATTGTTGCTTGAAGAATACACTTCCACTGCAGCCATGATTAACGTTAAAGTTTTCTATGCAGAATTTGATTTGACGACAGTCACGAGACCGATTACTCGATCCAATCACGTTGATGGATAAAAATACAATTAAAACAAGCATGTAACGCGTAACAACCACAAACAGAGGGAAAATAGCGGAATAAAAGGCTCACCGATACATCACTTAAAATGTACTCCAGCAAAAGTGCACCATTTTTAAACTACTCAAAAAAGTGACTTCGTTACTTCACACCCCTGCGCTTCAGCGATAACACAAACCTCAGGAAACTGCCGTAACATACGCAGTGATCTGTGTGCTTTAAGAAGCAATGTCTTGTAACTTACATTCATGTTCATGTGTATAGCAGATGCTTTATAAAGTTTCTCTGTAGTCAACCATTTTATCCCTCATCTCTGATCACCAAAATGACACATTTAAATGTTTTTCCTCAAAAAAAAATTCTTCCTGCCTTAAAATATCTTGAATGTAACTCGACAGCCTTGCCTGATTTGGTACGCGTGGTTCTATGAATATGCAAATGAGCCCCGCCTCCACTCACTCAGCTCAGAGATCCACTGGTTGACGATCACACGTTGATCTGATTGGTTACAAGGTCGTTTGTGACGTCAGAAACACCAGCGATTTCAAACCGTGTTTTTGAGAGACTGTCTTTGGTTTACTGGAGAAAATACTCAGCAATGCTGTCGACTTATGCATTTGCACATGGTTTGCCTTAAAGCATTTTAAAAACACCACATAGACATACAAAATATTAAAAGCTGGATTTTCACCACAGGGGGACTTTAAAAGGTGTAATTGCAAAAATTATAATCATGGTCCTGCAGCCCTTCTGTCATTATCCACACGACAGGTGTGATTTCTCAATGGTTGTTAAATATAGTAGTTATATAACCTGTCGTTCTCAAAGTGAAAACTTTACTGCTGGACCAACACCATATTAAATATGAAGATGCTGATTAATTTTTCTACTGAGCTTCAAAATCCTGGAACTGACAGTGACCGATGCAAGGATGAAGATATTAATGTGTTAATTAAATATTTAAATACGTCATAATTCATTCTGAAATGATGATTTGCTGCTCAAGAAACATTTCTGATTATTATCAATGTTGAAAACAATCGTGACTCTGTGATGTACAAAGTTCAAAAGAACAGCACTTATATGAAACAGATTCTTCTGTAACATTATAAATGTTGATCAAGTTAATGTCTTGCTTAATAAATGTATTTCTTTCTTTCAAAAAAATCGTACTGATCCCAAACTTTTAAATGATAGTGTATGATAATAATATAATACAGTTTTTTTTTTAGTTTTTTTTTTACATAATTAAATATATTATACAAGTTCATTTGAGCCTTTCAGTTGGTCAAGAAGACAAATCATTGTATAAGAAGCTTCATTTTATTTAGATTTTTAAAACTAATTTTAAACATTTATAACATTAATGTTATTGGTAATGTATTGTAACTACTCTGCCACATATCTGATTTCCAAATCAATACATAATTTCCAAATTATTTGCACAGAACCTAATTAATATTCATGAGCTAAACCTTCACAGTGAGTTGTGTGACATCACAAACGCATTGAACTACTGTAAGCGCCATCAATGTTTAATTAGACAATTTAGTATTTGTGTGGAGCTGTAAAGTCATTGACCGCCAGATGTGCTGTATATTTATAACATGCATTACCCCTGAGTGTTATGAGTTGGTTATGCAACTAAAACATGATAAGAAGAGCAAGAAGCAGAGCCTGCGTTTCCACAATCAATCCAGCCCTGGCTTTAGAGACGGCGATCTGTTTCCATATCACACTCCTCCACAGAGATGAATTGCAAGATTTAGCATTTGAGAGCTTTGTTTTTGTTTTTATTACTTGTTGTTGTTGTTCTGTGTATTCATTACATCAGTGGTTTAATTCGGTGTGGTGTGATTCATCTCTGGAGAACCCCCGCTCGCGCCGCCGCCGCGCAGAAAGTGAAATTGATCATTATTTTACCAGCTGAGCAGCGAGCGAATGCACAAACACGCGGTTCAGGAACAATGAAAAATGGCCCTGGCAGCAATTAAGCTCTCCGTGCCGCCGGGGTTGATGACGTTACACGCGGAGATGTGGGAGAATCTGTGAGGGGTTGCCAGATAAATGTGGAAAAGCTCCCCGTCTCCAGGGACCTCGTTAACTCCTGTACGGATCTGTGTTTTCATCCACGGTGCACTTCTGAGAGAGATGAATCGACTCTTTAATGAAGACTCTGCTCTCTGTAACCATAATGGCTTTTGCAGCACGCACACTCTTCAAGCCCAGAAGTGTTGTTTTTTTTATATCTGTGTTATAATCGCGAGCAGAAGAAGGATGCGTTCAGACACATGTAATCTCTGAATGGCACAGCGTCGCGAAGGTGTGGATCCTCGTCGTTGGGACTGAATGTGTGAGTGTTGGCGTTCTCTGGAAGCGTTAAAGGGTTAGTTCACCCAAAAATGAACATTATGTCATTAATGACTCTCCCTCATGTCGTCCCAAGCCCGTAAGACCTCCGTTCATCTTCAGAACACAGTTGAAGATATTTTAGATTTAGTCCGAGAGCTTTCTGTCCCTCCATTGGAAATGTATGTACGGTATACTGTCCTTGTCCAGAAAGGAAATAAAGACATCATCAAAGTAGTCCATGTGACATCAGTGGGTTAGTTAGAGTGTTTTGAAGCATCGAAAATACATTTTGGTCCAAAAATAACAAAAACTAAGACTTTATTCAGCATTGTATTGTGTTCCGGTTCTGTTGTGGATCCGCGTTCACGAGTTTTCACAGTTCTTAGTCATTTTCGTGCATAAATACTGATAACTATTCAAATATTTGTACCACAGACATCAACAAATCTCTACCAGATGACAGAATACTACCATTTGACAGTATCATCATATTGCCAGTTCTAAGAAACAGGAAGTGAAGTTTGTAAGTGAACACAACACTGGTTACTTAGTGTGCTATCCGCTAGGCCACGGCAGCGACATGACTTGTTGTGTGTGATATATTTCACACACAGATTCATGTCAGCTGATTTTTTCAATTTATCTGAGATCTTGTGTTGGTTCTGAGGTGAATCTGACTGCGTGTGTGTGTGAGATTATTAGAGGAACTGCTATCAGGATGATTTATGTGCAGCGTTGCCTCTCTTTGTGTCTCCAGTCATTACTGCGCTATTGTTCACACCGCTAATAAATCTGACACAAAGGCCTCTGGGAAATCCGAGGGGCAAAACTGAGGGATGCTTGGTGACGTTAGAGCAGCACGAGAGTCATTCGCTTCGAGCGGAAAGCTTACGACTGCACACAGCTCCTGAAAAAAGGGGTGCTCAATGATTGCGTGATTAATACCGAGGTTTACTGACGTTTTCAATGTTTTGACAGGTCATGCACTCAAGCCGCAGGTGTCCTCCATGTTCACGTCATTCGTGGACGGCTTGAAAAAATTCTACATAACAAAGGTGAGAAAGAAGCGTGAATGTGTGTCAATAAAGTTTTGCAACAATTAAGTGCTGTTATAGAGCGCAACTGGAAGTAAAAACTCTCCATAGGGAAATCGATTTTTAACGATGACTTATAAATCTTTAAAGACGGCCCTACTGTGAGTGACGAGGTTGTCGATGAATGGTATTTGCTTCTGTTGAAGCCGTCAGCCAGCATTATTTTAACTTAAAATGTTTAACAGCAGAATTTGTGGTGAAAAACTACATTACCCATGATGCTCTACTGAAAATTCCACCAATCAGAGAGTCAGAACGTGGCTAAAGATCTCATTAACTCCGCCCACTCCCATGAAGCACTGCGAATGATATAATCGCGTATCTCAAAATACTTAAATATATGATTATATGCATATGCAAAACTTATTATATATATTATATTTACATGTCATATACATAAAATCAGCTGTTTTTAATGAGTAGTTTTATGTTTCTTCATTGTTTTTAATTCGATTATCTCATTTGCAATGCTTCATGGGATTCCTCACCGTAGCCGTTAAGTATACAGTCTTGTACCTTTGTATTTTTGTTTGATTTTCAACATTTTTATTGTTATGGCTCTCCTCGGAGCTGGTCGGCTCGGTTCATGGCTTGTAACTCTTTAACAAAGACTTTTTAAAATCCCTATGGGAAAATACTAAAAGAGTGGGCGGGCACTAAGCACTCTATTACGCCCCTCTCTGGAATACTTCATTCTGATTGGTCAGCCACTGTATTCTACATTCTAAGCAAGAAATGTTGCTAGACTGATTTGATTGGCTTGTGAAAAGTAGCCTCTGATATTATTGGCTAATATTGTTTTTTTTTTTTTACGCCCACACAAACTTGAAATAAAATCAGAAATGAAAACTCATTTTAGATGAAGCAAATTGTCAAAAAGGATTATTATTATTTTTCTCCTTAAAAATAACGTTCACTGATGGATTGTGGGTCTCTTTAGATTTCATGCTGTCTAACCGTGCAACTCTGCTCTCAGTTTAAAGGATTCGACCCGCACCACCTGTGTGTCGCCACGCTGTTATTCGAGGGGGATCGTGGGAAGGTTTTGCAGCACGAGAAACAGGTTTACGACATCGCAGCCAAATTCGGGTAAGAAGCCCTTGGTTTTTGTGTGTGTTCTTCCAATCTATGCCGTTTCTATGGAACCAGAGTTACTATTTCACCAGTATAGTTCAGCATGGGTCATTAGGGTCGCGACCCCTGACCTTAACTGACCTTTCTGATTGTATACGAAAGCACTGGCGTTTGTCTCTGTCTTTTCATGCTCCCTCATTCATCACGGCTCTTTCAGTGGCAGTGATGGGTGTGTGAGGAAAAGAGAGCACAGATTGAATGATTTCAGCATTAAAGGTTGGTTTGATTTTGCGAATATTTGATTAGAGGCCGATTGTGATGGATAGAAGGGGATGAATGGATAGATCCCACAGCTGACCTTATTGACCCACTGCCTCCGTGTGCGTGTGTGTGTCCATATGGGAAATGTTCACCAGACCACAAACGCCTTGATGGTTATTCTCTTGCAACATTGACTGTGCTGAAAATATATGATTTCCCACTTCACGTCCCAATGACCTGTACTCTGTTTTGTTGCTGTGTGTGTGTGTGTGTTTTAGGGGACTGGCAGCAGGAGAGGACAACGGTCAGAGGGGTTACATGCTGACGTTTGTGATCGCGTATCTCCGGGTGTGTTATGAATCCCCTTCATTTCAACAGACTTCAAAATACACCAAAATGCAACTACAAATAACTTGTATTTTTATATCTAGCCCTAAATGTGTGTTTAGGATGGCATGTTTTTTTTTTCATTCAAAAGTCATGGGTCAGTACGATTTTTTATTTTATTAAATACTTTTATTCCATATGGAAACATTACATTACATGACATTAAGGCCATTTATAATGTTACAAAAGATTTTGTTCTTTTGAACTTTCGAAGAATCCTGAAAGAAATATATCACAAATATATGAAGCAGCACGACTGTTTTCAACACTGATAATAATCATAAATGTTTCTTGATCATCAAATCATCATATCAGAGTGATTTGTGAAGGATCATGTGACACTGAAGACTGGAGTAATGATGCTGAACTTTCAGCTTTGATCACAGGAATAAATGACACTTTATTATAGTATATTCACATAGAAAACAGTTACTTTAAATGGATATAATATTTCACAATATTACTGTATTTCTGATCAAGTAAATTCAGTCTGGGTGAGCAGAAGAGAATTTTGAAAAAACAAAAAAATCGTATCGACCCCGAGCATTTGAAGTATTATATATATATATATATATATTTATATATAGCTGCTTGTGAACAAAATGATAGTGTGATATATAATACTTGCCTATGATTGGTCAAGCACTGATTGCATTACGTCAGCGGTCCGGTTTGTCCCGTCAGGGTTTATTTTGAGATGATACAGCAGACTCTACACTATCCTTATAAATGTATCTCCGAACATATACATTTGTTCTTAAATGTACGCTGGGATTGAATGAACAGGATTGAATATGTGTGTGTGTGTGTGCGCAGGATTTGGGAATGGACTACTACGTGATGGGAGAGTCGTTTGAGACGTCTGTGCCCTGGGACAGGTATGCGATCACTTGTTTTGCACTGTGCTCTGTCTGTTGATCGCCCACGCTCTCTTTAACACACGCTGTTGTCTCTGTCTGGAGGCGTTAGTGGAGGTGGGAAGGTTACAAGGACACAAAGTAAAGGGAAAACTTTCAGACTCAATGTGTACCTGTAATTTTGGCTCTTAGTATTAACACAGATCATGAACAAAAAGCAAAACTCATGTGAACTCTGAAAATTATACATGAATTTTGAACAATACCTGTTATTGTCTTTTTTGATCCACTTCAAATGTTGACTACTGTAGTTTTTTCTGTTTTGTTTTTGCTATTTGTTTTTGTTTAGTTTAGTTGTGCTTTTGTTTATTTTTTGTTTTGTTTTTTATTTGAGTTGTATATTTGTATTTTTTTAGGGGGGGTTGTGATCATTTTGTATTGATTTTATTGTTGTATTTTTATGTTTTTCCCCATACTTAAATTTTTGTTGTATTAAAGTTTTAATTATTTAAATTTGACTATTTGTAACATTTCAGAATAAAAGTGATTAGGTGACTTTTGGGCCACTCTTGTCTACTCTTGACAACACATTATTTAGTATTTATCTTTTCTTTCTTTTTTCTGTCTCTCAGGATTTTGGACTTGTGCAGGAATGTGAAGGAGAGGATTGTAAGAGAGTGTAAGGAGAGAGGAGTTCAGTTCCCTCCACTGTCCACATGCAGGTACACACACACACACACACACACACACACACACACACGCACGCACACGTCTATCTTTCTGACCTTTGATTTGCTGTCCATAAGTAAGCGTCTAACAACCATCCTGACTAGTGTTAAGTGAATATTACCCACAAGACCCTAGCATGGTGGTGGCAACTATTGTATAACCCAGCACTGTTTACGTTTTATTCATTAAATGTACAAATCTAGAGGTATAGCTTAATGCATTGTTTAGTGAACTCTGTGTTCATTCTTATCTCACCTTTACCGTCACACAGAAAGAGAGTGAGTTTTGGGCTGAAGAGCATTTCCTAGCCATTCATTTCCTGTCGTTTGCTTTCCAGCTGTGTGTGACATGATTGATGTGGCCATTTAACCTCTGCAAAACCAGATAAACTTAAACTTACTTTGTCTCAAAGTCAAGGGTCACACAGGCAGGGCCTGGATAGAAAGCATGTCAGTGTCTCTCACTTTCTCTTTGTGCCTTTCTAGACTCATTAAAAACCCCAAAGCAGCCGTAAATCCGCTTTGGCAGGAAGAATATTACGATTACTGATTCTAGAAACATCAAACACTCCTCATCCTCTCAGAAATAAGTGATTTTGAGGTGTATATACCAGAACAAAATAAGAAAACTGAGCAAAATTAGAGAAATTATGACGGCCATCACAGTGTCGTAATTACCAGTGGAAAAAGCTGGATTTTATTTGAACCTAGACTTTTTGAGTTGCTGTGACAAATAAAGAAATCATAGCAAACAACGCATGTATTATAGATATAGATATCTTTAGTTGATGGTAAATTAGTATCATGATTGTAAAAATGGCCTGTACAATTTCTGTATGCTTTTTGTGCACCGTTGATGAAGAATTGTTATAAAGCTTGCTGGATAATATCTAAGTGATGGATAATAATGTAACTAGCAATAGCTTTTCATTTATTGGAACTTCAAGTCAATGGCTAGATTTTATGTATTATACATGAGTATATTTTAGTGTAATTATGGTCCCTAAAAGTGCACTCAGTATTATTATAAAAAGGTATATTATAAGTATTTAAAAAAATTATAATAATCATGGCTACATCCACATCCACACCACTAGGTGTCAGTATAATGGTGGATATCTTCCCTGGATGGACTTGAAAGCATCATAACTTATGTTTTTATCTTTGTTTTTCTCTTTCCAGAGTTACACAGACGTATGATGCAGGTGCTTGTGTGTATTTCTATTTTGCCTTTAATTACCGGGGTCTGAGTGATCCAGTTCATGTCTACGAACAAGTGGAGGTAAGGACAACAAGAAAGGGAAAGATTAGCAATCGATCTTTAAACTAGTACAAATATTTCTCAATATTTACCGGTGAGAGTAAAATGAACTGTCCAAATGAACCTTGCAACCCTAGCTGATAGATCTAACTAAACATTTATTTAACTACTAAAAAGCAGACCAATCAAAACAGACTGGGCCATCTGACCAATCAGAGCAGAGTAGACCAATCACAACGGACTGGGTCATCTGACCAATCAGAGCAGAGTAGACCAAACACAACAGACTGGGCCATCTGACCAATCATAGCGGAGTAGACCAATCGCAACAGACTGGGTCATCTGACCAATCATAGCGGAGTAGACCAATCACAACAGACTGGGCCATCTGACCAATCAGAGCAGAGTAGACCAATCACAACAGACTGGGCCATCTGACCAATCATAGCAGAGTAGACCAATCGCAACAGACTGGGTCATCTGACCAATCAGAGCAGAGTAGACCAATCGCAACAGACTGGGTCATCTGACCAATCAGAGCAGAGTAGACCAATCGCAACAGACTGGGTCATCTGACCAATCATAGCAGAGTAGACCAATCGCAACAGACTGGGTCATCTGACCAATCAGAGCAGAGTAGACCAATCACAACAGACTGGGCCATCTGACCAATCAGAGCAGAGTAGACCAATCGCAACAGACTGGGTCATCTGACCAATCAGAGCAGAGTAGACCAATCGCAACAGACTGGGTCATCTGACCAATCATAGCAGAGTAGACCAATCGCAACAGACTGGGCCATCTGACCAATCAGAGCAGAGTAGACCAATCTCAACAGACTGGGCCATCTGACCAATCAGAGCAGAGTAGACCAATCACAACAGACTGGGCCATCTGACCAATCAGAGCAGAGTAGAACAATCACAACAGACTGGGCCATCTGACCATTCATAGCAGAGTAGACCAATCACAACAGACTGGGCCGTCTGACCAATCATAGCAGAGTAGACCAATCGCAACAGACTGGGCCATCTGACCAATCAGAGCAGAGTAGACCAATCGCAACAGACTGGGTCATCTGACCAATCAGAGCAGAGTAGACCAATCGCAACAGACTGGGTCATCTGACCAATCATAGCAGAGTAGACCAATCGCAACAGACTGGGCCATCTGACCAATCAGAGCAGAGTAGACCAATCTCAACAGACTGGGCCATCTGACCAATCAGAGCAGAGTAGACCAATCACAACAGACTGGGCCATCTGACCAATCAGAGCAGAGTAGAACAATCACAACAGACTGGGCTATCTGACCATTCATAGCAGAGTAGACCAATCACAACAGACTGGGCCGTCTGACCAATCATAGCAGAGTAGACCAATCGCAACAGACTGGGCCATCTGACCAATCAGAGCAGAGTAGACCAATCGCAACAGACTGGGTCATCTGACCAATCAGAGCAGAGTAGACCAATCGCAACAGACTGGGTCACCTGACCAATCATAGCAGAGTAGACCAATCGCAACAGACTGGGCCATCTGACCAATCAGAGCAGAGTAGACCAATCACAACAGACTGGGCCATCTGACCAATCAGAGCAGAGTAGAACAATCACAACAGACTGGGCCATCTGACCATTCATAGCAGAGTAGACCAATCACAACAGACTGGGCCATCTGACCAATCAGAGCAGAGTAGACCAATCACAACAGACTGGGCCATCTGACCAATCAGAGCAGAGTAGAACAATCACAACAGACTGGGCCATCTGACCATTCATAGCAGAGTAGACCAATCACAACAGACTGGGCCGTCTGACCAATCATAGCAGAGTAGACCAATCGCAACAGACTGGGCCATCTGACCAATCAGAGCAGAGTAGACCAATCTCAACAGACTGGGCCATCTGACCAATCAGAGCAGAGTAGACCAATCACAACAGACTGGGCCATCTGACCAATCAGAGCAGAGTAGAACAATCACAACAGACTGGGCCATCTGACCAATCATAGCAGAGTAGACCAATCACAACAGACTGGGCCGTCTGACCAATCAGAGCAGAGTAGACCAATCTCAACAGACTGGGTCATCTGGCCAATCAGAGCAGAGTAGACCAATCTCAACAGACTGGGCCGTCTGACCAATCAGAGCAGAGTAGACCAATCTCAACAGACTGGGTCATCTGACCAATCAGAGCAGAGTAGACCAATCACAACAGACTGGGCCATCTGACCAATCAGAGCAGAGTAGACCAATCACAACAGACTGGGTCATCTGACCAATCAGAGCAGAGTAGACCAATCGCAACAGACTGGGTCATCTGACCAATCAGAGCAGAGTAGACTTGGAAAGGAGGGGTTTAGAGAGACTGAATCTTCTGAAGAGTCGTTTGAGAATCTTTGAAAAATGGGGTGATGTGCAATGTATATTATGAGAAAATGATATTATGAGAAAATGAAAGTATTTTTTTACCTTTTACCATGGAGTCTTTAAAATAGATCATTTTAATTAAAGTGCCCCTATTATGCTATCCAAAGGAACTAACAACCCTAGCTGATAGAACTTACTAAACATTTATTTCACTACAAAAGTAAGGGCTTGCTAAATATTTTGAAAGTTCTGACTCGAATCAGTGAATCATTTGTGTTTGTTTATTTGTGTGAATCAGTGAATCATTTGTGTGTTCACTGGAATGGACTGTCCAAATGAACCTAGCAGAACTATTTATTTCTCTATAAAAAAGAAGGGCTTCTGAGACAATCTTTCTCCTTTTAGGCTTAAAAAATTATACTTAACGTCTTGTTTTGCTTCTATTGTGTAGCATGCGGCCCGGGAGGAGATTCTTGCCAATGGAGGAAGTCTGTCTCACCATCATGGAGGTGAGTTTCACCACACAGCACGTGAATCATCTGAAATAAATGAATCTATTAAACCGAACACACGCAGACCTCGGCTTCTAGACTCCACTACTCAGCCTTTTAGAGAACGGTAGCGTTGGGGTCGGTGGTTTGTCCTGTTTATTGGGTCTGAGACACATGACTTATCTACATTACCGTCCGCCTGCTGCTAGCTAAACGTCACCAGACTCATTAATCACACACACACACACAGAGATCTGTAGCCCACAGGTCGAGTCTTAAATGGACGGATAAAGGAATAGTTCACTCAAAAACTTTGTTTCCTGACTCTTATTTCATTCCAAACTGAACGACTTTTTTCTTTGTTCTGTGGAATACAAAAGATACAATTCTGAAGACTAATAATTTAATACTGTGAGTTAATATCAAAAGAGTTGTCTAATGCTGCGACCTGATCAGATTTGTGAATGAATCATTCAAAGATCAGATGGAAAATCACATCTTTTATTTCACAGAAGAGAGAGAATAAAGTATTTGAAACGATGTGCAGGTGATATTTAATTTTTGAATGAACTATACCTTTGAAATGAGAGAGGAAAGGGTGAGCTGATGTTTATAAACTTTCATGACTGCTATCTAAAAGAAAGAAAGCCATGCTGATGGTGTGTGTGTGTGTGTGTTGGGGGGGGGGGGGGGGGGGGTAGTTCTCTGTAATTGTGATTAATAGCGGTACTGCGGTACTATCTGCCTGCCGACAGGCCCTTTTGTCTACACACAATCACAGCATGACAAATGAAGTGAGTGTGTGTGTATCTGGAAAAACAGATGTAGTCTGGGCTGGCGAGGTGGGAGGGCGCAGGAGAGAAACACACAGTTTACTAACCTGTGTTTACCACGGGTCAGAGCTGTGAATACACACGCTTGCCAGACCTCCACTCGCTCTAAACACAAACACACACAGTTCCTTAGATGCGTACACACGGTCAGTGTGCAACAAAGCAAACTAAACCAACAAAAATATGCCCTTTGAACCTTGAAAGAACACGTTAAAATAGATGTGCTAAGAGTTAAAGAGAGACCGTTCAAACAGCCTTTAGTGAGGGAGTCTGAAATAACCTGAACTGATTTGCATTTGTCAATCACTTGACTGAATAACTTTGGTGGGAGATTGGTGACGTCTTGAAAACATTGACAAAATGAAAGTTTAATACAGCCCTAGCAAACCGAACTAACTAAAAATGTGTTTCACTACAAGAAAAGAGAATGATTCAGTGAATCATTTGTGTGAAATGAACTGTCCAAAGGAACCTAGCAACCCTAGATGATAGAACTAACTAAACATTTATTTCATTACAAAAAGAAGAGCTTCCAAGAATATTTTGAAAGTTAGGACTGAAATGAATCGGTGAGTATTTGTGGTGGGGGAGGGGGTGTTATTTTGTGTGAATCAGTGAATCATTTGTGTTTTCATTGGAATGAACCATCCAAATGAACTTGGCTTGCAGAACTAACTGAACATTTATTTCACTACCAAGATGAAGGGTTTCCGAGAACATTGTGAAAATAATGACTCAAATGAATCAGTGAATCAATTGATCGTGAAAGTAATGACTCAAATGAATCAGTGAATCAATTGTGTGTTTAAGCGGTTGGTTTTAGTGAATTGCCCTAACAAATCTAGCAAACGGAACTAACTGAACATTTATTTCACTGCAAAAAAAAAAAAAAAAATGAAGGGCTTCAGAGTACATTGTGAAAATAATGAATCAAATGAATCAGTGAATCATTTGTGTGTTTAGGTTGGTCATTCAAAGGAACTATCCAAACAAAGTGATTCACTAAAATGAATCAAATATTCCAGTGCTGTCCAGACCAACGATCACCTCAGCTGTCCTACATGTAGTAACAGTGATGTGTTTGGACTCATGCGACCGCTACAAAGTGCAACACTTTTTCTGGTGCCGTGACCCGGATTCTAAGAGTTCTTGTTGGTCTTCACAGTAGGAGTTTTGTTTTTCGGGTTTGTTTGTTTGGAACCATGCAGATATGCTTAAACGTGTCTTCTGAGCACAGCATGTGTGGACACACGCCTGAGGAAACACCAACAGCGTGTGTGTGTGTGTGTGTGTGTGTGTGTGTGTGTGTGTGTGTGTGTGTTTTTGCAGGTGAAGAGCAGGGGTTATACGAGTGCATCAGCCTCAAACACACTCACACTCCTGAGCTCTTCCTCTTTATTCAGCCGTTGTTGGACACACACACCTATGCTTTTGTCCCTGGCTGTAGTTTCTGCATGTCTCAGCTGTGTGAAAGTGGTTATGAGAGATGAATAGTGACAGGATAGTGATGGAAAGAGAGAGCTGATGGCGAGATGATAGATGTGTAAATTATCTCCGTGATGGAGGCAATGATGCAGTCATGCCTCCTTCTGTTTCTGTCTGTCGCCCAGCACACACACACACACACACACACACACACACACACACACACACCGCTGGGCGTTTGAGGAGGGGCCGCTCGTGATTGGCTCGTGTGCGTTCGGTGGGCCGGCCCTCTGTTCTCTCATGCGAGATGATTGGCTCTGTCGCCACTAGACCTGTTTGCATATGCACAGCTTGGGCGGTTGCCAATAGCGATCAGCCCTGGCCCTAAGCTCCGCCCCCTTCTCATACGGTAATGTATTATGACGAAACGCCGTCTGGTCGCTTATCAATCATAGTAAGCGTGTGAGAGACAGACTGAGAGACGTCGAGGTTTTCTAAACTGCTGTTCTGACAAATATGCTGTGTGGGATTATATTAACACAACACTCATGAATGTGTCATTGATTTAATGATATGAGAAAGAAATCATAACTATATTGTATTCTATTCTCTTCAATTCTTATATTATATTAGCAGATTATTTTAATTAACGAAATTTTATAGATGCATGAAGGTGTGAATTATGTCTAGGGGCCAGCATATCTATCTATCTGTCTGTCTGTTCTATGATTTATTAAGAATAATTATTAAATAGCAGTAATAATAATGGATTCATAATAATGAATAATATTTAATAACACTGTTCAATCCCCCTATTTTATGTTTAGATTTGTTCCTTAATCTAACTTGATTCATCTTTTAAAAACAACTATAATGATATAATGTTTTAATAATAACAATAATTAATGATCTTGACTAAACAATTTAATAACACTGTTCAAACTAATCTTCAGCAAATTTCTAAATTAATATCTATTTTCACACTCTACAATATAATATTGTGATGCCTAAAATCATTTGTAGCATTTAAAGATTTGAGGGGTTTATTTTTATTTACTATTTAACAAAATGGTATAGAATATTAATATCAGCCATTTATCGGCCATAGCATGAAATTAGTCTTCAGCTTGAAGGCTTTAATATCAGTGATTGATAGTGTTTTTGTGTTGTTTGTTTGTTTGTTCGGCCAGTAAGCAACAACCTAACAACCTCATAGCAACATATTAAAAACACTCTGTTTAACTCAACACAGAACAGCGACGCCCTGGCAACCATCAGTTTTCATATCATTTTATCGTGTCATATTTTATAAATAGCATTTTTAAGTATTTTTGATAGGTTATTTACTATCAATTTATGAGATGTAATGTAATATTTTGTTACAAAGTTGTTTAACTGATATTGATGTATATGTTTGGTGGAGTTTAGTCTGAACATGAGAGCAGCAGACAGACAGACAGACAGTCATTCAGACAGACAGACAGACAGACACAGTCTTCATACAGACAGACAGACAAACAGTCATACAGACAGACAGACAGACAGTCAGACAGACAGTCATACAGACAGACAGACAGACAGTCATACAGACAGACAGACAGACAGTCATACAGACAGACAGACAGACAGACAAACAGACAGACACAGTCTTCATACAGACAGACAGACAAACAGTCATACAGACAGACAGTCATTCAGACAGACAGACAGACAGACACAGTCTTCATACAGACAGACAGACAAACAGTCATACAGACAGACAGACAGACAGTCAGACAGACAGTCAGACAGACAGACAGACAGACAGACAGACAGACAAACAGTCATACAGACAGACAGACAGACAGACAGACAGACAGTCATACAGACAGACAGACAAACAGTCATTCAGACAGACAGACAAACAGTCATTCAGACAGACAAGCAGTCATACAGACAGTCAGTCATACATACTGTATACTGTAGACAGTCAGTCATACAGACATTCATACATACAGACAGACAGTCAGTCATACAGACAGACAGACAGACAGACAGTCATACATGCAGACAGACAGACAGACAGTCATACAGACAGACAGTCATACATACAGACAGTCAGTCATACATACAGACAGACAGTCATACATGCAGACAGACAGACAGTCATACAGACAGACAGTCATGCATACAGACAGACAGACAGACAGACAGTCATACATACATACAGACAGACAGTCATACATACAGACAGACAGACATACAGACAGACAGTCATACATGCAGACAGACAGACAGTCATACAGACAGACAGTCAGTCATACATACAGACAGACAGTCATGCATACAGACAGACAGACATACAGACAGACAGTCATACATGCAGACAGACAGACAGTCATACAGACAGACAGTCAGTCATACATACAGACAGACAGTCATGCATACAGACAGACAGACAGACAGTCATACATACAGACAGACAGTCATACATACAGACAGACAGTCATACAGACAGACAGACAGTCATACATACAGACAGACAGTCATGCATACAGACACAGTCATGCATACAGACAGACAGACTGACAGTCATGCATACAGACAGACAGACAGTCATACATACAGACAGTCAGACAGTCAGACAGACAGACAGTCATGCATACAGACAGACAGACAGTCATACAGTCAGACAGACAGACAGTCATGCAGACAGACAGTCAGACAGACAGTCAGTCATACATACAGACAGACAGTCATGCATACAGACAGACAGTCATACATACAGACAGTCATACGAACATTCATACAGACAGACAGTCTTACAGACAGACAGACAGTCATACAGACATACAGACAGTCATACAGACAGACAGTCTTACAGACAGACAGACAGTCATACAGACAGACAGACAGTCATACAGACAGACAGACAGTCTTACAGACAGACAGACAGACAGTCATACAGACAGACAGACAGTCATACAGACAGACAGACAGTCATACAGACAGACAGACAGACAGTCATACAGACAGACAGACAGTCAGTCATACAGACAGACAGACAGTCATACATACAGACAGACAGTCATGCAGACAGACAGTTATACAGACATACAGACAGACATACAGACAGTCAGTCATACAGACAGACAGACAGACAGTCAGTCATACAGACAGACAGACAGTCATACAGACAGTCATACAGACAGTCATACAGACAGTCATACAGACAGTCATACAGACAGACAGTCATACAGACAGACAGTCATACAGACAGACAGACAGTCATACAGACAGTCATACAGACAGACAGTCAGACAGACAGTCATGCAGACAGACAGTTATACAGACATACAGACAGACATACAGACAGACAGTCAGTCATACAGACAGACACATACAGACAGACAGACAGTCATACAGACAGACAGACAGTCATACAGACAGTCAGACAGTCATACAGACAGACAGTCATGCATACAGACAGTCATACAGACAGACAGTCAGACAGTCATACAGACAGACAGTCATGCAGACAGACAGTTATACAGACAGACAGACATACAGACAGTCATACATACAGACAGACATACAGTCAGTCATACAGTCAGACAGACAGACAGTCATACGGACATTCATACATACAGACAGTCATACAGACAGACAGTCTTACAGACAGACAGACAGTCATACAGACATACAGACAGTCATACAGACAGACAGTCTTACAGACAGACAGACAGTCATACAGACAGACAGACAGTCATACAGACAGACAGACAGACAGTCATACATACAGACAGACAGTCATACAGACAGACAGACAGACAGTCATACAGACAGACAGACAGACAGTCATACAGACAGACAGACAGTCATACAGACAGACAGACAGACAGTCATACATACAGACAGTCATACATACAGACAGTCATGCAGACAGACAGTTATACAGACAGACAGACATACAGACAGTCAGTCATACATACAGACAGTCATGCAGACAGACAGTCATACAGACAGACAGACAGTCATACATACAGACAGACAGTCATACAGACAGAAAGACAGACAGACAGTCATACAGACAGACAGACAGACAGTCATACATACAGACAGACAGTCATACAGACAGACAGACAGACAGACAGACAGACAGTCATACAGACAGACAGACAGTCATACAGACAGACAGACAGTCATACAGACAGACAGTCAGTCATACAGACAGACAGTCAGTCATACAGACAGACAGACAGTCATACATACAGACAGTCATACAGACAGACAGTCATGCAGACAGACAGTTATACAGACAGACAGACAGACATACAGACAGTCAGTCATACATACATACAGACAGACAGTCAGACAGTCATACAGACAGTCAGTCATACAGACAGACAGACAGTCATACAGACAGTCATACATACAGACAGACATACAGACAGACAGTCAGTCATACAGACAGACAGACAGTCATACAGACAGACAGACAGTCATACAGACAGACAGACAGTCAGACAGACAGACAGTCATGCAGACAGACAGTTATACAGACATACAGACAGTCATACATACAGACAGACATACAGACAGACAGACAGACAGTCATACAGACAGACAGACAGACAGTCATACAGACAGACAGACAGACAGTCATACAGACAGACAGTCATACAGACAGACAGTCATGCAGACAAACAGACATACAGTCAGTCATACAGATAGACAGACAGTCATACAGACAGTCATACAGACAGACAGACAGTCAGACAGACAGTCATGCAGACAGACAGTTATACAGACATACAGACAGTCATACATACAGACAGACATACAGACAGACAGTCAGTCATACAGACAGACACATACAGACAGACAGACAGACAGACAGACAGTCATACAGACAGACAGACAGTCAGACAGTCATACAGACAGACAGACAGACAGTCATACAGACAGACAGTCATACAGACAGACAGTCATACAGACAGACAGTCATACAGACAGACAGTCATACAGACAGACAGTCATACAGACAGACAGTCAGTCATACAGACAGTCATACAGACAGACAGTCAGACAGTCATACAGACAGACAGACAGTCATACAGACAGACAGACAGACAGTCAGACAGTCATACAGACAGACAGACAGTCATACAGACAGACAGACAGACAGACAGACAGGCAGAAATGTGAGTTGTGCTGCTGTAGTTTCTCTCCTCTGGGAGCTCAGGGATAATGAGTTTGATAGTCTGCTGCTCTCCATAAATCACATCATGCAAAACATCTCAGCGTTTCAGCAGTGCCGCCCACCGCAGAACATCCATCATCCAACCTCTCTCTCTCTCTCTCTCTCTCTCTCTCTCTCTCTCTCTCTCTCTCTCTCTCTCTCTCTCTCTCTCTCTCTCTCTCTCTCTCTCTCTCTCTCTCTCTCTCTCTCTCTCTCTCTCTCTCTCTCTCTCTCTCTCTCTCTCCCCCTCTCTCTCTCTCTCTCCCCCTCTCTCTCTCTCTCTCTCCCCCTCTCTCTCTCTCTCTCCCCCTCTCTCTCTCTCACAGTGGGAAAGCTCCGGAAGGAATGGATGAAAGAGAGCGTGTCCGGCGTGGGGCTCGGCGTGCTCAAGTCGGTGAAGGAGTTTGTGGATCCTCAGAACATTTTTGGGAGCAGAAACCTGTTGTAATTCAGCAACACTCATGCGTTTTCTATTATCTTCTAATCATATTTGATTTAAACCTCATATTCCCGTCTTTCTCGCACAGTAACACGATAAACCACTCCTCTGTTTCTCATTAACCCCATCGCCTTTGACCTTTGACCTCTTCTTCAGTGAGGTGCAGGACTCCTCCTCCTCCTGATCACGTGACTTGATTTCTCGCCGGTCTTCCCGTGACTGAACAGGGTTTTGAAACTGTGAGGTCTGTGTCTGGCACTACTGTTGTGTTTCGTACATCAGCAGACTGAATTATGCTTTTTAAAGCAGTGTGCCTTCTGTCTGTCTGTCTGTCTGTCTGTCTTACACTCCTCCTTCTGAGTGACTCAATGTTTTATTATCCTCTCTTCCTTACTGTACTTTTGCCTTTTCTATTCATCAGCTCAATAAACTGTATATTTTTTTTTTGGGGGGGGGGGGGGTTAATCTCATGAGAAATGTCCCAATTGTATTTCACTTCTAAAATCAAAAGAAAAAAGGCACATAAAGCCAATTTTTTCAACCATTATGAATTTTTGAACTTCAAAAATATGCACCGAATCTCATTAAGCAAATATGAAGAAAAAAAAACTTAAATTATGGTAATTAAAATGATTATTCGTGTAATGAGAATGAGGGAATATTATGGAAGCTTGTTTCCACCACAGAATAAAACATTTTAAAAGATAATTGAGACTTTTTATCTCACAATTGCGACTTTATATCACGAAATTCTGAGGTAAAAGTTTCAATCACCCTTTTTATTTTTCATTCTGTGGCGGAAACAAGCTTCCATAGAATATGCATAACTGTCATGAATGTCATGGAAATTGCCCTAATATTGCTTTTTTTAAGTCGTTTTATTCTTAACACTTTATAATAAGGTTTTATTCACCAACATTAGTTAATGCGTTACTTGACATTAATAAAGAACAATACAGAATGTATTCTTACATATTTTTGAAACATTCTAACATCAGTAAATGCTTTATGAATGAATGTGAGGTAGCAAGGATCAATAGTATATAGTTTTTGTCGTTCATGATACCAGCCGTAACTAATCTACTCAACCTTATTGTAAAGTGTTGTTTTTGTCTTTTGATTCTGGATGGAGGGAATATGATGTTTTCGTGAGATTGACTCTCTTACGAGGTGCAGTGTGTGTGTGTTGAGCCTGTAAACGTGTGTGTTGTGCTCTGGCTGCATCATCTGCATCAAATCTCTCCTTGTGTTTCTGCCAAAGACTGTCAGCATCTCTTCTACTGCAGACTTGCTTCAGCCACACACACACACACACACACACACACACACACACACATCCATGTGTCCTGTATATAAACATGAGCACACAGTTTAGAGAGGATGTTCACCGAAGATCCATCACGATAAATTGTATTTTTTTAACACAACATATGCAAAAAAGCCAGAGATGATCTGAACTGGGATCTAAAACATTATATGTGACTGTTACGTGCTTTGATTTGTATGTGTTCAACTTTGAGGAAAAAATAAGCCTGTCAGAATTCCTCCGCCGTTCATCTGTTGTCGATTTCCCAGAATGCAACTGAGTTTATTACACTTTCAGAGTCCGTTATACTTTGCTTTGACGTGGATGATATGTAGGAGATGCTTTCTTTCACTTTAAACAGATAATCCTCATTCACTCGCCCTCGTGTCGTTCATCTGTGGGACTCAAAGAGAGATGTTTGGAAGAATGTTCACGCTGCTCTTTTCTAGACCATGGAAAAACAGGAAAAGGGCCAAAAGTAGTCCAAACAATATCCCAAGTAATGTCAGATTTGTCTGATGAACATTCAGAATTTGACATTATAGATAAAACTTCCCCGATCGCCAAAGCTCTGAAATCTCATTCGCATTTCTGCACATTAAAATTGCCGCATCATGACGAGTTATGAGACGCATAAACTGCTGTCGATGATGATATTATAGTGTGCTGCAGGGATGACTTCAAATCCACCTCTTGTTTCCTCAAGATTTTTCAATTTATGAATGAAATAAGGTCTGTGGTAAACACAACTTTACGATACGATACGATATTTTACGATACTTACACACGTTTTGCTCTACAACACCGATATCGAAAACGCACATTTTGAAGCTGTTTGTTTTAGAAAACGTATGTTTCTAGTAAGTAACAAGATAAGGCAGTTTGGTGTGTGTGCAGTTTGACGTCCATGTATTGTCAATTTATGTTTACCACATATTATTCCACTCATAAATTGAAAAACCCCATAGGAGAATCAGGAGGGAACCAGACTTCCGGGTTTTCCGGGTCATTCCTGCAGGACTCTATTGCAAAAGAGAAGTCTGATACTTTCATGTTGCTTTTCACTTTTTCTTATTCACTGTCGATATACTAAAAAGAAAAAACCCAGCATGAATATTCTTTGCCTTTTTGTGTTTCACAAAGATTTTGGAAGGCTTGAATGTTTGGACCCAATGACGACATTTTATTTGTGAGTGGACTCTAAACTCTGCGGGATGAATATCAGGTTAATGTAGTGTGTGTCCTGTGTAACAGGCTCAGACGTCTCGCTTTACTACGGTGGCACTTTTGTAAAACATTTAAGCCTAAACAAACAGTCCAGGGTCTTTACTTGCAGACGTGCTGTCAAACAGGGCTGTGATGTTCAGCAGATCCTCTCTCCTGGTTCCCCTTTATGAAGTGTCAGAGGAGCTTTTCTGTGTGTTATGAATCCATGTGCTTCTGGACTATTGTGTTGCTGAAACGCAAAATGAAGGATCTCGAGGAGGTTTCGCTTCCCCTCGGCTTGATTCCTGAACGGTTTCATCATCTCGCGTCACTTCAAGAAAAACAACCGTATTAACAGATTTTAACTGAAATATAATGAAAGTTTCCCTTGTCTTTCCCTCAGATTTCTTGGTCATGTGTTTAATATCAGAGTACATTTTTGTCAAAGCTGTTTGTGCAATAAATTAACATGTCAGAACATTTTAGATCGTGTGTCCTCTGTCATTATTGCAAATGTTTTATTACGTTTGTTTGATTCTCTGTCTGTCCAATCAGAGGCCTTGCAGAGGAATGTTTTTCATCTTCAAACCAAACTTGGTTCTTCCTCAATCCCGTCCGGCTAGCGTTCTCCCCATAATGTTCATCATTAGGTCAGTAGACGGAGAGTAGACAGTCTTTTGTGGCTGTTTGAACACATTCAATCACGTGAGTGTTTACACTACCACAGCAATCCGGTCGAATGGCTTTTCAACTCTGGAAGTGATTGAAAGTGGTCACATTTTAGACCCGTTTACTCCTGTATTTAGTGTCGTCCACTTGTGATCCGATCGACCAAAACGCATCTTAATACCAGCTGTAAACAGGGCCTAACGCACACTTCCACTTCCTGATGGCTCCAGACTCACTGGCTAAATGTGTGCATATTAAAAACACCACAGAGACATATAAACAACATTAAAATCTGGATTTTCACCACAGGGGGACTTTAAAAGAGACAACCAGGTTAGGGTACTTTAAGTAAAACCAACAAATCATTTTTACATTGTGATTGTGTCTTTAAACGTTTCTCTGCATGTTGTTGATCTAATGTCTCATAAACAATACGTGTCAATTTAAAAATGACATTTTCAAATAATACCGGTGCGTATACGGCCCACTTCGAGCACTGGTTTAAAATGATTGTAATCTATGGACACTCACAGTTTCTGTAATAGGCTTTCAGTTGCAGATCATTGTGTAATGTAACCACACGGTGTCACTGTTGAGTGCGTCTCTCTGTCCTACAGGAGGAGCCCATGAGCACATTTGGGATGTTACTCCTTATGCAACACATCTGATTACACCTGACTAATGAACTGAACTCATTTGTGCTTCATGACCTGAATTATGTGTGTCAGGTTAGTGAGACGTCTAAAATGAGCGGTGCTGCAGGGCCGCAGTTTCACCGCAGCCTTGCCTTTATATCTCTGACTCATTTTCAGCATAGAAGCTGCTGTGAAACAAACCATCCAGCTCTCAGATGAATCACAACATTACAATCTGAGATCTGAGCAACAACAACAAAAAATACTCTTCCACTGAAGCATGCAAATTATTATTTTGTTTAATTAAGTAATCATTAACAGAATGATTCTCTTATCATCAGAACTCAGGTTAATTGTTTTTACGGTTTATAAATTAACAATTAAAATAATTGTATCCCTTAAAACACATCTTTGATCACCAAAATTACATATTTAAACGTTTTTTTTTTTTCCTGGAAAATGTTTTCTTTATGGCTTAAAATAGCTTGAATGTAACTCGACACCCTTGCCTCATTTAGTATACGCGGTTCTATGAATATGCAAATGAGCCCCGCCTCCACTCACTCACTCAGCTCAGAGATCCACTGGTTGACGATCACACGTTGATCTGATTGGTTACAAGGTAGTGTGTGACGTCAGAAACACCAGCGATTTCAAACCGTGTTTTTGAGACTGTCTTTGGTTCACTGCAGTTTTACTCAGCAATGCTGTCGACTTATGAACTTACACATGGTTTGACTTAAAGCATATTAAAAACACCACATATACATATTAACAACTTTAAAAACTTGATTTTCACCACGGGGGGGACTTTTAAAAATGATAAATCTTTATAGACCTTATGTTCCAGAGAAACAAACACACAGAATCTTTGCAATGGATCTTTAAACTTTTCCATTTTTGCGGTCGCTCTGTATATTTCTATGGCATCGCTGTTGAAGAGTAATTAGCTCGTGAAGTGGATTTACTTACTGTAGAGTTAATGAAAGTTATCATGATCATTGTAATGTTTGAAGCGGATGTCATAACAAATGTCAGTAGACCAGGAAGATTTTTAAACGAGCGGTTCATTCTTAAATCTGGAAGATCTTACCTTCATGCTGTGGAAACACAAACCGGACGCGTGGAAAAGGGGCGGAGCTACATAAGGTCTCTAGGCAAAGTAAATGTGATTTCACTAGTGACGGACCAACTGCGTGAAGTTTACACCTCAATTGTCCAGCCTACTCGCAGAAATCTCCAACTCATTATTTCTAGCAGCACGTTTATTTGAATCGGACAGTTTACACTTCCAGAAATCATGCTTCAGGATTCTCCAGAAAAAGGAGAGTTGGACCAAGAGAACAAGACAATTCAAGACAGCCTCATCACTTACATAACGCCTCAGAGAACAGTCCAACAGTGGTAACAGCAATAACCAATCCTCCAAGAAATCATTGGGAATAATGTAAAACATTCGGAATAATGCGGTTACATATGAAAGTATTCCTCCCCACTGATGCAACAGCTGCTTTCATGCAGGTACAATAAATCAAGTACTGAATAATGAAGTACCGGTGAATCTTATTACAGCTTGACTGTTCAGACACTTCTTCATGCAACTCAATTTTACTCTC